GGAAACCTAATATGGGCAAGCTTGTGCCCAGCTCAACTCATTAGAATTGGGCATGAGTTAGAGGTTAGAAATAGTTTACATGAACCTCTATATATACCATTCTACATATTCTCTCATTTTCAATTTTGAGGGATGCTTGTATGTATTTTCGTACCAACTCCTTATTCTCTTTTAGTGTAATATACACATGTTTTCGTTTCTTTTATTTTCTTCTTTTTAGTTGTATTATTCTTTGAAATAATTTATTCGATCAACATTCATGTTATTCAATTGATCATTGTAAGTTTGACTTTGAATGATTTAAATCTTATAATAATGAGCAAATCATTTCTAGAAATCATAATTTACTGAACATATTTAAGTTGAATTTGCTAGTTCAAATTTAAAGAATCCACTAAATAAAATTCATTGAAAACAAATTGGCACATCAACTGGGTTTCGTTTGTGTCAAACATAATTGAACTAGTCTTAAATATGTTATATGAGACTTAAGAGTGGTAGAATTATGTCTACATCAAATCAAGGAAATGCCTATAATAATAATGAGAATGAAAATGTAGTAGAACAAGTTAATGTGAGTGAAAATGTCAAATCTATAATAGCAATGGTAGTTACTCTATCCCCTGTGATAGAAAACATCATAGGACAAAATGCGAGTTTTTCACAATCTTCATTAGTGAATGTTACGAAGGAATACCCATGGGGTATGTCTACAAATTAGAGAACAAAATAACCAGTTAATATGGAAATTCCTTTGACCTACTTCATGCCTAATCCTTAAGTCCATTTGTCCTCATATGGATATAATGAAAGTCCACATGGAATGAAGTTTGTAATGCAAGACCTTTTTTAACATGTAGGAACAAGTTAAGAAGGTTCTAAGATTAGACAAGGTAGTTATATACCAATTGGTATAAATAATCAAACAGGGATGACCTTTAGACAACAAATGGATCATAGTAATCATGATATGGTGAATATGTTATCAACACAATTGTCAATAGTATTGACTCCTTTCTATGATTTGATAAACAAAATAAGAAAAAAAGATAGATGGTCAAAATCAACCCTCTAATTCAAATAATAATATTAGAAATGAAGGAATAAAGAGAGATCAAAATGATTTGGGAATCCTGTGATAGTCAGTAGAGAAAAAAAATGCAAATAGGATTTTAAATCAAGTTCAACATCAAAATCAAAATCTTCAAAACCAACCTTGAATTTATGGTGAAAGTTTAGATTATGTGGTTGAGCAAGTGCTTAATAGACATGGTTTTGATATAGGATGCTATAACCAACCTTACTTTGTCCCTTTTTTTTCTTGAAAACATTATACAGACTAAGTTACCAAAGGGGGTTTAAATCCCTAAATTTTTGAAATTTGCTAGAGAAGTTAGAGAATCTATAGTAGAGCATATAGGAAGATATCAAGTAGAACATGGAGATATAATTGCAAATGAATATTTGAAAATGAAGTATTTTCCAAGTTCTTTAACTAAGAATGCATTTACTTGGTTTACAACATTGAAACCAAAGTTGATTAATATCAGGGTTCAGTTAGAAAGGAGTTTTCATGATTGGAGAAAATTACTTATTACAAATTGTGAAGGATTAATGAGCGTCTTTTGTGAGAGATTAGCAAAGCTATGACGAGGGAAAATTGTGAAGGATTGATGAGGAGTTAGCGACCATATCTCACAAGAGATTAGTAAGGATATAGGGAGGGAACAATTAAATTTTTTTTTGCGATAATAGCAACAAACTAACAAACTAGCGAGGGATACATTACTGGGGCTTAGAGAGGTGTTAGCAAGGAAATAATGAAGATATTTAGTGAGTAACAAGAAGGATTGCATCTACAAGGCAATAACGACGGATTAGCAAGGGGAATTGTAAGAGAATGGTAAGGGAATTAGTGAGGGATTTTTTGCTGTCACCAATAGCGACTTGGACTTAGTGATGGAATGATTCTTCACAAATTCTTTGCTAATCCCTCGCTATTGTCCTTAGTGAGGGATCATCCCTCTCTAATTAACAATTTTCTTGTAGTGAAATATGAAGATGGATTGAAAACTAAGATATCAAGCCATGAATTATGTAATTTTAAATGATGAATTATATAATGGTTTGTTATTCAAATGTTTGGGAGATCATGAAATCTATTTAGCTATGGAAGAAATACATGAAGGAATTTATGGTACACATCAAGTTGGTGGAAAAATGAAGTGGGTATTGTCTCGAAAAGGTTATTATCAACCTACTATGTTGAAAGATTGTATTGAGTATGCCAAAAGTTGTAATAAATGTAAAAAAATATGGACCAATACAATAAGTTCCAACAAGTGAATTACATTCTATTGTTAAACAATGGCAACAATGGCCTTTTCAAGGATAGACTTTATATTTGATTGGTCAACGAATAAAAAATAAGTTATAAACTTTATCGAAGATCGTATTTTTTTTTTCATTTGGAATACCACAAACCATAACTATATATCAAGGAATTGTATTTATAGATCAACGAATAGTACAATATGCTAAATTTAAAATAATTAAGTTGATTACTTTGACACCTTATTATGCTCAAGCAAATAGACAAGTCAAAACTGTAAATAAAATTTTAATATCTTTAATAAATAAATAAAATATAACTTCTAGGCCTTGAAATTGGCATGAAACTTTATTACAAGTTTTAGGGACATGCAAAAATTCACTAAGGAAACAAAAAACATGACTCCTTTTTACATAAATCCTAAACTCTAAACTATTTTTTTTACATAAATTTAAAGCTATTCATATAGAATTATTTTTCTAGAATTTATAGCTGAATAAATTATACTTTTTAAGATCTAAATACATTTTAATCCTTTGTAAATGTTTCAAGTACATATGATTTCTATTTTTTTTTCCGTCGAGATAATTAGCCCCTGTAGTAAACTTTAAACTTTAATACTAATATATGGTAATTAACAACGTCGATACATCAACACCTCCTATGTAGAATAGTAATTAAGATGACGTTCCACATAATTAAATTATTTTTATTAATCAATAATTTAATTGTTAAAATAATTAAATTAATAATTTTTAAGTATCAGAATTAGAAACAACAAAGAAAACAACAACCAGTAGAGGCTTGGTGTGGTAGGGATGGATCCGATTGTTGTATTAAAGACATGTTAATGATAAAAAAAATTATGAAAGGAAAATAAAATTGTTAAAAGAAAAATAAAATAAACTTCTTTATAAAAAAATAATTTAAATATAAGTTAATTTATAAAAAAAACTTTTTTTAATTAACTTTTTTAAAATACTAATTTTAACTTGTGCATAAAATTAGTATTAATCTATTAAGAAATAGTATTAATCTATAGAGAAATTTATTTTATTTTTTCTAAAAATATTTATGAAAAAAATTATCTACATAAAGTCATGATATTAATTCAGTGGCTTCCTCGCGATTTGATGGTATGGTGCCAGTTTTAGAGGTAAATTAATACATCCAATGATCAATTACGTAATCAAACAAAAAAAATCAATTATGTAAAAATAATTTCCTAACACTTACTTTTTTTTTCTTTGTCTATCTTCGTTCTTCTACCCATTTTTGCTTAGTACATTTAAATGAGGAAATATATATTTAAAAATGTGAGTTCTTTAAATATATTATTAAAAATTAGTTCTTAACTTTTAGAAATATATTAATATTTTAATTTTTTTTTTAAAGAAAAGGGTGATGTCATCTATACCTAGTTATATATGAAAATGATTTCCTATTCTTAACATACAATTTTTTAAGATTATTTTTATAAATTCAAAACTCATTCAAGATTTTAAGGTCAAAGAATTAGACACAACACTAATTAATTTAGATTTTTTTATAAGCAAAATAGAATTAACAAGAGTACAAATGGTACTCTAACCTATATACATATAGTATTTTACAAAAATAAATTAAGAAAGTCAATCAAATCCACGTCAACTTAAAAGCTTACAAAAAATAACGACTTAATTAACTTATATCTAATAAGCTTCTCATATTCTAGAAAGCTAACAGCCAATGTACAATTAAGAAAGGCAGACATCAGGAGATCTTGGACCAAGAAAAGAAATATTTTAAAATATTGATAATTTTTAAAATATTTTTAAGTAAATATAGAGACATAGAGTCCACTAATTATAAATAAATACTATCTACCTCAATAATTGTCCTTTATGCTTGCTGAGACATGATATTCTTATGATGGAGACTTCTTTGTAACCTGATCATGAAAAATGTGGCTCAACATAATTTCTATTGTTTTTATTATTTATTTCTCTAATTATGTTATTATTGTATGATATTAATAATTTTATTTAATTTTTATTGTACAACTGACTAATTATTTTTAATAAGTCTTTCAATTTAATCGTATTTTTTATCCATAAACTCAATATAAATAAATGATTTATAAACTTTTTAAGACAAAACGTAAGTACAATAGTTGATATTGGTAATTTGGTATTCTAATCACAATTGTATGTGTTGGGCCATATAAAATTTTCAAAAATTTTACCCTTTAAGCAGTGATGTAAACTAGGAACTTATCATTAGAGGAGGGTGCTTATGTAAGGATTGCTGATTAAATTTTTTGTGTGGGCCCATAGTTGAAAAAATATATGTAAAGTTTTTTTTTCTTAATAATTGAAATTATTAAATTGTAAGGATGCGAGGATATTGATGATATTCATTTAGTAAATTTTTTTGGTGGTGATAGATTTTAGGAATAAAGTGATTACAACAGTCTTAATTTAAAAATGATAAAAATGATAATGTGTATACATGAGTTTTATTTAAGAACTTCAAATTCGGTTGATGGATTGTGGATGCTTTTTTATATTTAATGAAATAATTTATTATACATTATTGAAGTAACACTTAAATTTTGATTAGAAAACTAAATGTTCTATGTTAATTTTTTTTTTTTTGGTAAAGAATGAAAACTAAAGCAGCAGACAACTCAAGACATAGAGTCTCTTCCTAACGGTAACAGGATAAACTCAGGAGGACTCCTCCAAAATACATTAGAACCTAAGTTCCGAACACCCCAATTAGCCAACGTGTGGGCTACTGAATTCGTATCCCTAAGGATATGACTCACGTAAACTCCCCAGTCCCTAGCTATCATGCACTTAATACAACGAATAACATCATAGTGCTTATGTAGATGATCCCTATCCATTGACCGGTCTTGAAATAACGTAACTACTCCCAGGCAATCACATTCGCAACTCACTTTTCGAAACCCACCATCCCAACAAAATGATAATCCCTCCTCCAAGGCCAACAACTTAGCACGTAACACATCACCATGTCGCACTCCCCGCGAGAATCCTCCCCGCCACATACCTGCCGAATCTCGAATGACTCCACCCATCCCCATAGCAGAATTCTCACTCAACCAACTCCCGTCCGTGTTTAGTTTGACCCACGGATGCTCCGGAGGCCTCCAACGTGATTGCTCCACCCATAACCGCCTGTTAGCGTTGTACACACTATTCTCCACCGTAGACAATGTCACCTTCCTACGGACCGCCGAGATCGTCCAAAGCTCGTCGTTAAACACCATGTTATTCCTAAACCGCCAGACCCACCACAAGGTAATGGAGAGCTTAATAGCATCCGGATGCAGAATAATCCCCTTCAGCCACCGAAAACAGTCCATTACAGAGAAAGACCAACCCACACTGACCCCACCCAACATCAACACCTCCCTCGAGTACGGGCAATCACGAAGTGCATGTAAAATAGTCTCGTGAGGGCAAGAACAACGCGAACACGCCCCAGACTCGGCCAACCGCCTATCGGCCCAAACCTGATTCATTGGAAGGGCTGAATGAAAGCATTGCCACATGAAGAACTTAACCTTCTCAGGGAGCCTTAACTTCCAGAGCTTCTTCCAAACTTCATCATCTTCTATTGACGAACCCATAGACAGGAAACGATAACCAGACGCCGTTGTATAGCACCCCGAGTTATCACCCCGCCAAGCATAATGATCCAGCCCTAAAGAGGAGTTGGAGACAGTCAACCGTTGGATCGAGTGAATCAGTTCCACCGGGATAGCAGTATACAAGGAATTGAAATCCCAATGGTCGTTAACCCAGCAGTCTGCGACCGTTCTGTTCGTATCGGCAATATGAACAAAAGGAACTCTTCCGCACCAAAGCCCAGTACCTGACCAGTCCGTGTACCACAATGATGAGGCACCCGATCCTAGTTGGGGCTCGAATCCCTCACGAAGGAAAGGAAGGGCCTTAATAAGACTCGATCAGGTTGGAGACGCACCCCGCCTATTTTGCGCACACAGGATAGAGTCTCCATGTAGGTATATACTGTTGAGGATATGAACCCAAGGCTTTTGTGGAGCTATAAGCAGATCCCAAATTAACTTCCCAAGGAGTGACACATTCACCCTTCGCGCCTCCCTAACCCCCAGGCCACCCAACATCATGGGTTGAGTAACAACATCCCAACTCACTGGGGACCAAAACCGTGAACTGTCGGACTTTGCCCAGAGCATACGGCGACAAGCCTGATCAATCCTATTGCAAACTGCTTGAGGAAGCCACAAGGTTTGCATACTATAAACTAGAATAGAGGAGATAGTGGACTTTACTAGACACAACTTACCCGCCTTATTAAGAAGCTTGGACTTCCAAGCCGCAAGTCTACTCTGGATCTTATCCATCACGTCATAGAAATCTGCGCACCTCGGCTGACCCTGAGTCATGGGAACCCCCAAGTACTTCCCGATCCGAGTTGTGTGCCCAATCCCTAGCAATCCCTCCAATGTATCAATCCTCCTCTGAGAAACCCTTCTAGAGCTCACGAACTGGGACTTAGTCAAATTGACTTTCAAGCCTGATGAACGCGAGAACTCCTCCAAGATTGACGCCACCAACTGAGCCTGGCCCTCTGAAGCTTGACAGAACAGTAAAATATCATCAGCAAAGAAAAGGTGTGAAAGTGGTAACCCCCCAGGGGAAAGCTGAATCGGTTTTCACTGACCCTCCTGGAGCATCTCCGATATCCGAAGGGCGAGCCGCTCCATGCAGAAAACAAACAGGTACGGAGATAGTGGGTCACCCTGCCGAAGGCCACGAGACAGAGCAAAGGAAGGTAAGGCGCTTCCATTCCAAAGGAGTGAAATTGTCGAATTCTTCAACCCCCACATGATGAGTTGGATAGTGACTGGGGGAAACCCAAACTGCACCAGCGTAGACTCCAAGAAATCCCACCTGACCCTGTCATATGCCTTTTCAAGGTCAATCTTTAATGCCAATGACCCCACACCTGAGCCGTCCTTCCGTACGAAATGAAAGGCTTCTTAAGCAATAATACTATGGTCCTGAGTCCCCCTCCCAGGGATAAAGCTGCCCTGGAAAAGACCAATGACATCCTGCAAAAAGGGTCTAAGACGAGCCACCAGCACTTTAGAAATAACCTTCCAGGCCACATTACATAAGCTAATAGGACGAAATTCTTTAAGACTAACCGGATGGTCCACCTTCGGAATTAACACCATTTGAGTCTCCAATAGTGATACTTCCGAGAACCCGAGCCGAAAAGCATCTTTCACTGTACGTCATAGCTCATCACCCAAAATAGGCCAATATTGCTTGAAAAAGAACGGTTGAAACCCGTCCGGCCCTGGTGCCTTGTACGACTTCATACTCATCACCGCACGGCGAACCTCCTCCTTCGTGACTGGGGCAGTTAAGGCAGATTGGGCCTCAACTCCCAGGCCAGGTGGAACCCCAGTATGCATGACTAGGGATTCTTGGTCACTCTTGACCGAGAAAAGATCTGTATAGAACCGGACTGCCTCATTTTTCAATACCCCAGGGTCCGTGTTCCAAGACCCATCCGGTAGAAACAACCCCTGTATTTTGTTCCTCCTTCTCCTCGCAAGAGTTTGAGCATGGAAGAAGGACGTATTACGGTCCCCAAACCTCACCCACTTCTCTCTAGATTTCTGAAACCATAAAAACTCCTCCTGGAGACAAGTTTCGTCTAACTCCACTTGAATGGCCTTTTCTAAGCGCGACAGACTCTCTGACTCCCCTACCTCGAGCTGTAATTGAACCCCTCTGAGACGTCGTTGCAGAGCCTGCTTTCTATTAAAGATATTCCCGAACACCTCGTAATTAAACTTGATGGCATCCACACGAACAGCTTGTAAACCACTAGCCAGGGTCGGAGTGCTCCAGCACAACGCCTCCCTAACAACTCGCTCAAAATCTTTATGGGTGGCCCATGCAGCTTGGAACCGAAAGGGTCGATCATGAGAATTATCCCTTGAGCCTTCCCGCCGCAGTAGGAGAGGGCAATGATCAGAATAGACCCTACACAGATTCTCAACATATGCTTCCGGAAATATTGCTTGCCATGCAACATTACACACCGCACGGTCCAGCCGCTTAGCCAGCACAACCCCACGTTGGTTACGATACCACGTGAAACGGAGACCCTTGGCCCCATGTCAAGAAGATTACAATCATTCAAAACCTCCAGAAACTGTGAAGCCCTTGCTATCGAGAAGCGCCCGCCCCTACACTCCGTTGACAACATAATTTCATTGAAGTCCCCAAGCACTAGCCATGGCAACGTAATCCGACCTCCCAGCTCCCGAAGATGAACCCAAACCTGTTGTCTGAGGTCCACCCGAGGATTAGCATATACGGCCGTACACACCCAGCTCTTCCTACCTTCAACCACCTTAAACGAGATAGCCTGAGGGTGAGAGGCAAACTTAGAGATATTAGCAGAGCACGATCCCGCCATCAAAACCCAAATACCACTGGAATGCCCTGTAGCCTCCACGCTGTAACACAATTGATAGTCCATCTTCCTCCAAAAGGATTCCACCGAAGAAAACTGGCAATGAGTTTCCAAAACAATAAAAAAAGATGGGTGGTGGAGCCTTACCAACTCCGAGACCCTCCTTTTACCTTTGGCATTAACAGCCCCTCTAATGTTCCAACTCAAAATGTTAAAATTTGTAGTCATTGATAACAGCAAGACACAACAAAAAAAAAAACTCAGGCCATCATGGTCTCCAATGGCTGGTCGTATTGCATGATATCCTCCACCCCCGGAATCTCTTGTATTGTGTCCTCGGAATCATTGTGTACGTTGGTTGTGCACCCTGTATGAAGCACACTGGACGTTGTACCTTGCATGCCCTCTTGCACAAGGCGTGAGTCTCCTAGATAAGGGCTGGTGTGCGTGCTTCGGTCCTTAAGCGCACTCGAAGCTGCTGACGCAGCCGCATTAGCTGGAATGGGTCGTGGTTGGGCATTTGACTCCCCCCCTCTGCTACGTTTTTTCCTATCCAGCGTGGGACCCATACGATTCTCATTTATAAGCACCCCGTGGCCCCCATCAGGAGCTAAAGATCCCAATGCATGGCCCTGTTCACGTGGGGACTCTCTCACCGTATGTGTGCTTTTAAAGCCTAGACGTGTTTCCGCCAAATTGTGGACTCCTCTCTTCGAGTAACTTGGCACATTATGATGCTGCTCCGTGATTATCTCACTCCCATTATGCGAGGAAGATCTGCCCTTATTCAACGGTTTCCCGAGATTTGATTTTCGATTCCTCCGTTTCACAATCAACCAATCTCCATGCGGTTCAGGCGCTAATTCCCCTCTGACACGCAGAGCAGATTGCTCACCTGTTGGAGCAACAGAACCCTCACCATGCGGTGGATCCCTTGGCAGCTGTACCGTATTTTCCTTCTCACCCATGGCAGTTACCTTTGACTCAGGCCTAATGGCATGCGGGCAATTCCGTAGAACATGCCCATAGCAACCGCACGAGGAGCACAACAAATGTAGTCCCTCATATTCTACATTATACCACACACCATTAAGAAAAAATCTTCCTACGACTGGTTCCTCCAAATTAATCTCGACACAGACCCGTGTAAACCTACCCCGAGTCATGTTCAGGGTATTAAGATCCACCTTGACTGGTTTCCCGATGGCTGAGGCGATTGTTAAGAGAACACTTTCATCATAGAACATAACTCCGAGACCTGGAAACCGGATCCAGACGAGAGTACTGTCGACCTTTGTTGCTGATGCAACAAACTCCGGGGACCATGGTCTCACAATCAGATAGTGGTCAAAGAGCATCCATGGGCCCCCGTGCATTACCCGATCTCTATCTGCTTCCAGATCAAACTTCACCATGAAATAACCATTTGACACGTCCAACAGCTCGAAGCCTCCTTGAACCTTCCACAAAGCAGACAGTCGGTCCCGCAAGGTTAGGAACCCCACCTCTCTCCCTAGCAGCTTGATCACTAGACACTGTTCCCATGGTTCACACAACTGTTTAAGGGTGGGTGCCGTAATGCTAAATTTGGGTAGCAACCGATCACCACCCTCAAACTCCAACGTCATCGCCCCCTCCTTAATAAGATCTCGAACAGTCGGCCGCGTAGCCGGAGTCCCTAGTACCTTCTCCTTAAAGGTCATTGTCTGATTCATCTTAAGACTCCCAATGCCCCCATTCGGCGGCTCCGACAGTGGTTGGCTCCCCATAGGCATGCCCCAAATCCGCTCCATTTTCAGACCGGATTTCTATGTTACTTAATTTAATCAATGATCTTGAATTATGACTACCTACCACTTGTTTTATTATGGTAAAATCCTTGTGCATAATACTCCATTTGATTTTTCTTTTAAGATTTCAATATCTTTTTGTATCATTTTTCAATTATACCTAATATGTAGTTGAGTAATTAAAATAATTTAAATAGATCATTAATGTTGGTCATTAATGTTGGTCATTAATGTTGGTACTTTTGAGTAAAAAGTAATAAATGAGGGTAATTTAATCTAAATGTATATAAATTTAATATTTCTTTATATGTGTGTAGAAAGTTAAAAGAATTAAAGTTTTAAATCGGATAGGATATAAATTTTTTTTTAATTTAAAATTCATAATTACTTATCATTATTTAATTTTTGAAAGATTTAAATATATTTTTAATTTATGTAAAAATGAATATATTTTGATTATAATTTTTATATTTTTATTTTTTATTCTTTTAAAATTCGAAATTATGATGTTAATCTTTATTATTGTGGAAACCTTTCTAATTATTTATATATTCATTAGATGATACATGACCATTCCAATGTATCTCCAAAACATCTGGTGCCTATCAATTGTCCCACGCAAACCCTTCAAATGTCTCCATAAAATATTTCTCTGCAAAAATTGCCGAATGAATAATACTATGAGCTCATTCCCCAAGATATGGTCAACGTCACGCTTTGAGGCATGGAATTGAAAATATCTACACGAACCACACTCTCTTTATGCAACTTCACTCATATGCCAACCTCTTCCACAACCACTACTACATCACACCCTTCCTTCTCCTAGCTACGAGTCTCAAACAAGAAAATTACAAACAGAAGCTATAAATAAGCTCCCTAATATGAGAAAACCTTCTTTTATTTGCAAAACCTATGATTAAACCTTCTTTTATTTGCAAAACCTCTTAGAGCTTATTTGAATTTATATTTGAGAGACTTCAAACGGATAATATTGATTTTTTATAATAAAAAAAAAAAGTAATTACGAGATATTTTTAGATAAGTGTTCATTCACGTTTTGATAAACGTTTATAGAAATATGTTTTCAACTCATGTCTCAACCTTTCATTAAACTCTTTGCTCATCCAAGCCTTAAAGATAATATGGGAATAAAAGTAGGTCAAATGCTCAAATCTCATGACATACTTTTGAACAAATATATCTCCTTGATCTAGTCTCACAAACTCTATCTCCTTGGAATACTTTACACTATCTGGGAAATGTTTCTCAAGAATACCCTCTTCAAGCTTTCCCAATCCATCACCTCACCTCTAGCCTCCAACATTTGTGGAGTACCGCTCTACCGGTACTCAACCTCCCAATCAACATATAAACAACATAAGTCATCTTTTTAGGCATGTTGTCACCCTAAAAATCTTCTCTATCTCATTGATCCATTAGTCAACCATATTTGGATAAACCTCACCCTTAAACTAAGGAGGATTACCCTTCTTAAACTTGACAAAGCCCTAATACTCATGAGACACTACTGATCTAGTTACTTCAACTGTAACACGATTTGCTTCTATATGAGCAAAATTGACATTATGTTAATGTATAACTGTAACCATCATCTCTATGGCCTTGACTATTTGGTCAAAGTGTGCTCTAACTATCATATATTGAGATCAAATATCCATAAGCAACAATGTTCAACAACACAACAGAAAACAATAATCATAACAAAAAAATAATGGGATCATCCCCACAAAATGCCTAAAATACTTGACTGACTTGATATCATAAAAATGTGACGACTCGACAGGTTCCTATACTTTATAATTTAGTAATGGAAAGCATTAATCTATTAACCTAAGATTATCACGTAAGTAGTTCCTAGATATACATGAAACAATATATATGTGTGTGTGTATAGGGAATAATTTGTTGAAAACTTAAATGTTCCAACATTTTATTGGTCAAACAAATACTAAGTTATCAGTCAAACAACTACTATTTATAAGTTATTTTAGAGTACTTCAAATAATATTGTCATCCTCCAACATGACTCTAAAAAAATGTTCATCCTCCATCTTATTCTTGCTTTATTCCCGTAACAAGTATGTTCAATCAATAAATATTTTTACATATAATTTTTAATAAATTTAATCTATAATTAATAATATATTTTGGAAAGTAGATATAAAAATATATTACTTTTAGCGGTAACATTCCTCTTATTAGTGAAAAAATCAGACCCTGTCTGGTTAATTATGTTTATGTATGCAGCTAAAATCCAATTAATTTCAACAGTTGATTAATCATTACACTAATAATTAAAGAAAGAAAAATTATAATAAATGGTTTTGATTTTTACAGTATAATGTACCCTACACCCAGTAGCAGAGATAGGAGAAGATCGTAACTGATCCCTTATTTGTTCTATTGAGGTCATGCCAAACAATTATTTTGTTGATTAAGAACAAAGCTAGCGGAAAGTAAACGACTGAAGAAAATTAAGAGGAAAAAACTATATTTACTATCATATTAATTAAGAAAAGAAAAATAAAACTGTTATGCCTATAATTTTTCCCCTTCTTTGATGAAGAAAATGAACAAACGAATAACTTTCAGTTTAAAGTTATGTTCAAAGAATATAAAATATTTAATATGACCTTTTCATGTCCAATGAATAAGAATATAAAGTAATTATTTTTTCTTTTTTTACTCTTTATTTAAATGATAAAAAATGATTTTTTTATACTTCAATTACACTTTTCTTCATTTTATTTCCTCTTTTTATTTTATATCACATTCAAAGAAACTATTAAATGATTTTATTATTTTTCTGAAAAGAAGATTTATTATTTAAAACAATTCCTGTCTTAAAATGATACTTATTAATTACAAAAGACTTAAATATAATTTTAATCACTAGAAAATGAGCATGTTTTAATTTTGATCCTTATATTTTTTTTTATCTTTAAAATTTAAAACTATTATTTTAGTTTCTACTATTATATTATTATTCTTAACTAACATGTTTATTAGAAGGTTATGCGACTATCTAAGACGATATTTTTATATAAATTTTTAAAATAATTATTATATATACCTTAAAATAATTATTACAACCAAATATAGTAACTAAATTTTAGAAAGATGAACATTAAAAAAAAATATTTTATTAAGGATTATTTTTTTTTATTTTTTTTATAAGAAATTTTTTTATATAAATTTAAGAATGATAAAACATTACAAAGGTTAATATAAAACTCGTTCATTTTACAGGGATTCAAAATATATTTAAGTTTCACAAAAATTAATACCTTTATAATTTTCTTTACAAATACATGTAATTTATCATAAATTATAATAATTAGTTTAATAAATAAATATAATTTAATATCATTTCCTAAAATATATCCTAGTAAAAAATTAGTTTCAATTTTTTGTCCGATAACAAATATTTCTATCATCTGCTTAAGACTAATATCGTTGATATTGCTGTAATTGTAATTATTGTTTTAATTTATGTTTGTCAATATATTTTTTAACACAACCACCAAAATAATTATTTTTTTATGACTTTGAAAATATTTATAATTAAATAATGATGTAAAATTATTTTCATTATTAACATATACTAACTTTTTATATAATAATATCAACAACATTAGAACTTAAAACATTAAAAATTATTTTACTCTAACCTAGTCGGTTAAAGAAAGCATCATCTTTATCTTTTTTCCCATTTCTAAAGCTTTTTTGACAAATAAATAAATAAAATAAAGATAATGCATACTTTTATAAAGTAAGATATTTTTTCAAAAGTTTTAATAACGGAACAAATGAAGGGGAGAAAAGAGTAACTTTTTTCCTGTGTTTGTGCATACGTTATTCAAGTTTTTTTTTTTTAAATGATAGTTATTTTCATTTTGAATTTAGAAATCATTATTATATTGATATTTACCTTTTTTATTCATAAAATTTACAACAATAATAATGAAGTTGAAGGCCATTTTTTCTATTTAGTATCTCAATCTTATATTAAATTGATCCAAATGATTGATATTAGTGTTTATATTTAACTACATATTATTATTATTATTATTTTAATTTCTGAATATTTATAATATTTTTAATTTTAAACTAATTTAACCGTTAACGTGCTTGATCAATTTTCTAATATCGTTATTTAAGAGAGTAATATAATAAAATTTTGTAAATTAAATGAGTAAGGTGAGTGTTTATTTTATTTTATTTTAATATTTTACTTTCATTGAAAAAAGAAAAAAAGTTGTGTGTTGCATGGTTCACGCTTGGCTGGGAGAATTTAGTTTTTAATTTTGTTGATTGGTGCACGTGTTGTGAAACGGTGACACCAGCCAGTCATTGAATAGAGTGTCAAAATTCATTCACACGCTCACAAGTGTATAGCTACAACAACAAAAAGAAAAAACCAATGCAAAAATTTCCTTGTTTGCAAAAACGATTAGCATTTATGTGACGATATTGTCCCCTGATGATGTGAGTTGCATTGCAGTCAAATCAAAATCATTTTCTTGTTAGAGTTCTCATTTTTCTTCTTCAATAGTGTCTGTCTTACTTTCTTTCTGTGTGTGGCCACTGAACTACCTCAGTGTTCGCATGTGTGTTGCTGTTCTCAGCAAAATCCGAAGTCGCTTTCTCTCTGCCGGAAGAAAGAGAGAGAGAGAGGTTCAATCCCAAAGGACAAAACGGGTGATTACTCGAGAAAGAGGAGAGCCGTTGAGGCTTGGAAGAGAGCCATTCAGTTCCGACCCTTTGGAACTTGCATCATGGTTCGTCGTCTCAATTTTTGTTTCTTTGTTTTTTCCCATGTTTCTTTTTTGTGTTTGAGTGTTTTTGGTGATGACCCATTTTCACTTTTCTGATTGTGTGATTGGATTGTTTGAAAATTTTGGGTTTTTAAATTGGGAGTGATAGTGGGGTGTGGTTCTTTTTGCTGGTTTCTTTGGTTCTTTGAAAAAAAAATGATTTTTTTTTTTTATGTGGGGGTAAGTGATCGGGCTTGTGGGGTGGCTGGAATCTAAATATAGGAAATCTTTGGCTAATTTAGGTGTTCTTGTGTGTATCTGTAATCTGAAGCAAAGGCCTAAATCTGGGGACGATTTCTATGGCTAAGGATACGGTGGTGTTTCTTTTTGATATTTTAGGCAGGGGATTTGTGGTTTAGTAATATTTTACTTGAAGATTTTGTGTGAATGGTTCAGATTAAGCCTCGGTGTTTCAAGTTTGATTTTGTTTTCCCTATTCGTTTGCTTATTTATGTAGTTTTCTGATATTGAGATTGGCTTTGTATAGGCTTTTAGTGAGGTTTTGGTTAAATTAGAGAATAACCTTTGTTTTGATTGGTAGACAAAATTCAATTCCTTTTGGGATAATTCAATCTTTTCCTGGTTTTAATTTGGAGAAACCCAAGTTGAGGTTTCTCCTTTCCTGCACATCTCTATTATGTGTGTGGAATTGCATTCTTTGTTCATTTTTTTAAACAGTTCTCTCTAGACTTTCAACTTCTTTTGTTCATGAAAGCCAAGAAAAGTGGAGGGGTTTGTATATGCCCTATAGAATATGAACCAAAGCCTACAGGAATAAAGGCTTCATGGTCTTTCATGTTTTATTGAATGTGCTTGAATAGATATGAGCAGCTAGAAGTTGAATTTGTTTGGTGTAGATGCCATCTATTATGTTTGAATTGATAAGGTGCATCCGAAGATTGCGGAGACGAGGTATTGTGTTCGTTAGGAATGTTCCTGTTTGACTTGGAATTTTTCAATGAAATTGTTGAAGGAAGTCAAGTGTTCTGTGTAGGTTTATTTGTTATGTTTGGCATGCCATTTATACCATTTGGACTTTGGTGTTAACTCCAAAACAGTTCTTTTTATGTTCCTGTTTGACTTGGATTTTTTCAATGAAATTGGTTGAAGGAAGCCAAGTGTTCTGTGTAGGTTTATTTGTTATGTTTGGCATGCCATTTATACCATTTGGACTTTGGTGTTAACTCCAAAACAGTTCTTTTTATTAAATATCGTTTGGTGTTTCGCTGTTTTCAATTTGTCCTATTGAATTTGCTTGAGTTTGACTATGAATTTCTATGTTTTAGCCGTTATCGTTCTAGTAACGCTTAACCTGTTTCAACCTTTTTGATATTAATATTTTCATTACATCTATTCTTGGACAGAAGTCCCATTTCTTTGTGGCCATTTTCTTTTCAGACTATAAAGGAATATGGCTAATTTATTGTGTCTAAGCAACATGGCTACTGTTCTTTATGTAGTTACCCTGTAGTGATTTGTAATCTAAATGGAGAAATTAATCTTGACAATAAACATATAAGGTTAGGTACACCGGATTATATTGGTTTTGGGGTTTGTTCTTATTCTGCTGTCAATTTTTCAATTAGGACCATATCAAATAGCCCTGTTCTACCATTCCAAGTCCATTTGGAAGTCTTCATCATTTTTTTAGTTATTATTAGAATTTATAAATAGTGAAACTAAATTGGTCCTTGGTTGTTTCTTTGGTAAATGGCTGTCTTTTAGAACTATGGAAAGAAAGAGGCTTATAAAATGTTTAGATGATTTCCTCTTGTTCTGATTTTAGCTTCAAGTTTTTAAGTGATCATAACCTGGTTATAACTTATTCATCTCTAGATGACTTTCAGGTCGTTGAAAACATTACTAGTTGATAATGTAAAACATTACAAGTATTTGCATATCAATTCTCCAGAGTAATATCTTGTTTTTAAACTGCAATTTCCTTCTTCTCATTCTTTTCTTTTTCCTCTTTTACTTTTTGATGGATAGGCAAGGAAGATGCATGGTGCCCCTCAAAAGAAAGGTAATGATAGTCCAAAAGTTTCAGAAGCAAGAGAGGATTCCATATCAACAACATATCAACAACAAAATAAATTCACATCTTTGGAGGTCACAATAAATTTCCGTCCTATTTTTTTCCATGATTTTTTAATTGATTTTGGAAAGGCAGTTGATCCTTACCTGTTGTTTTTCCTCTTTAAATGTAATTCTTTTGTTCAGGATTGTCAAGAGTCTTCTCTTCCAAAGATTAACCCTGATAGTAGGTAAAATATTTTTGTCACTGTAGCATTTCTTTCATTATCTTTTGTTCTTATGGTTATATGATTCTTTAATTAATTTACATGTTTCTTTTGTTGAAATTGTTGTCCTATTGACATAAAATGTACTCCTAGCCTTCTAAGACATTCTTTAGAAGTATACCATTCCTTTTAGAATGGTTTTAATTCTAAGGCTTTAAACCAAAAGCTTGTAGTGTTATTGATTTTGTGCATGATGGGAGCTGGGAGAGAACATTTCCTTGTTGGTACTGTCATAATGATACCGTATGGTTGTTTGAAGGAGTTGCTCTCTTCATTCTACATCTTCTTGGTATCCTTGTTTTTTCATTATTCTTGTATTACCTAATTTTATTTCATCAGTTGGGGAAATATGGTTGGAAAACACGTTTTATCTGTGGCAAAAGCATCCAAAAGGTGGTCTGGTTCTTTGGGGTTATAAAAGACACAAGACTATAACAAACTTATTTTGAATAACTGATGCAATTTTTTAATTTCTTCACAATGTTGAAGCTTTTAAACCTCTTAATGGCTACACGACTCAAATTTTTAAAATATTTTTCCATTGTTATATTGCTCCCTTATATTTTGATTTTTTATATTCAAAAGACACTTGAAACTTGGAAGTGATTATGGCTAAGTTCTGCTAATTATTGATCAGGTGTGCCATCATTACAATCCTTTACAGTGAGGATCATGGAATCTGGAAAGCTTTTGACGTACCAGTGCAGATTTCCCATCACATTAACTTAGCTTCTGCTGTAACTATGGATGGTCTGCAACTTCTAATCCCTCCAACGATTAATAGGTTGAAGATTGATCAATGTAAAGGGCCTAGAGTGCCTCTTCCTCCCTATGCTTATTCAGCAAAATCATGTACAAAGAAAGGCTTTACTGGTTCAAATGTGCACCGTCGATGCCAAAACAAGATTGCTAACAGAGCTTCTAAACTGAATGAACACCCTGACAATTCTTGTTCTCAAAGTTCAATAGTCTGTGGCCCTGCCTTGTTCCCTGGTAATTCTACTACAGTTAATTCATCTGATAAGGGCACAAGTCATTCCAAGGAAGATGACAAATCTTTAAAGAAAAACTCAAGAAAAAGGGTTAGAAAGAAAGATAGACGGAGTAAGAAGAAGTCAAGTGACAGTGGCATTACTGAACATGAAGTTCTTAATGAGGAATATGTCTCTGTAAGTATGACTTCTGAAACCTGTAGCAGCAATGATGTGGATAAGGAGTGTGTGGCTGAATTTTCAACTTCTGATAATATATTAATAAGATCTGATTGTAAAAGGAATGAAATGAACAGCAACATCAATGTTATGCAGGCACCTAATAGTTGCAACTCTTGTGTTGATCAGGAGGGGATGTCAAAAGCCTTTGCTCCTATTGTTCAAAGTTCCGCTGGAGAATGTGCCACATTTGAATCCAAGAACCAGCTCCAAGATAGGGGCACTGATTTTGCAGTCATTGATAGAGAAATAAAGGACATCCAACATGTTGAGCCATGCTGTTTTAATGATATACAAGACTCTTTGGTGCTGGATTCAGTTTCAGTTGGTTCCAGAAGTGATGAAAGTATCAATGCTGTTGGTATAGGAAAACAGTCCAACAAGGCAAATTGCACAAACACTTCAGATTCGGGAGATGGATATTTTCTTGGTCCAAACTTAACGAATGGTATTCACAAAAACTGTGAACATGCTGAGGGGATTAAGCATGGTGGTCAAAATTGCATCAGTAATGATAAAAGAGTCAAGCAGAAGAGAACAATGTCAAAGAGTTCAAGCTTAAACAAATTTGGGGGCATTGGAGTTTTGCATGGTCGAAAAGGAAAGGAAAACAGTCATTCCGTGTGGCAAAAGGTTCAGAAGAACAGTTCTGATGAATGTAGTGGTGATTTGAAGAAAGTGAACACTACTTTGTCACAAATTGATTCTACTGTGGAAAAGGATCCTTCAGTTATCAAAGATTGTAGTTCTGTTGGTGTAAATGGTGTATCAAAAACTGAGGATAAGAAACACTTGAAAAATAAAATTGGTAGGAAATCAAAAGGTAAAATGGATTCAGTTTCAAAAAAGGGACAAGGCAATTATTCTAAGAAAAATTTCCATTTTAACAAGTCTTTGCCAAATGATCATGGGAAGGTTAGTGTTCAAAAGATTGATATGTTGAATATCTCATCTGATGAAATTGATCAACAAGGATTGAACATTGTCTCTGGATTTAATTCTGATATTAATTGCCTGATGGATGGGGTTCAGACCAATGGATTTGAACAGGTAACATCTGAAATAGTTCAAAGCACACAAATCTGTCTGGAGGAGTCAGATCCACAAAAGGGTGCCTGTCATACAATTGTAAACACAAACAGTGAAAATGTAGACATTGAAGATAGCTCATTGGTAATGCCAGGTGAGAACTTCAATCAATCAAATATGTCCGAGCAGCTGTCTCCAGTGTCTTGTAATCTTGAAGGTGATGAGGTTGGTCAAACAGAGAAAGAAGTTTCTTCTGCAGACTACTATGCACAAAACCACAGTTCTGGACCTACCCTATGGAAATGGATACCAGTCAGCAAAAAGGATACAGGGTTGGAAAAATCTGAATCTAATAGTTCACCACCAGAATATTCTGATACATCCTCTAGTAACAATTTCAACTCTGAAAGCAGCGCTGAACCGGAAGTAGCCTCTTCTGAAAATCTGGATTCTTCACTAAATGCAAGCAGAACATGCTCCGGCCAGATTTACAACAAAGTGTCTTGTCCAGATGAGAAGAAACATAAAATGGGTAGTCAGGTTGCATGTGCATTCACAGAGCACAGGAACAAGCATAAAGTTGCTAATCACATTCTTTTTGAATGTGAAAATCCAGAGATGTTAGAAAATGATTCTTACAGAATAGCTCAAGCCGTGAATGATGCTTGCATGGCACAACTAGCTTGTGAGACTGTACACATGGCTACTGGTGGTCCAGTTGCAGAGTTTGAAAGACTACTTTATTTTTGTAGTCCTGTTATTTGTAAATCACTCAATTCACTTGGTTGCTCATCCTGCTCATGCAACCATGCTGGTGGTGTCTCACTGTGTAGACATGAGATCCCTAACCTATCTTTGGGATGCCTCTGGCAGTGGTATGAAAAACATGGGAGCTATGGGTTAGAGATTAGGGCTCAGGATCTTGAAAATCCAAAAAGAGAAGGAAGTGTTGGTGATTTCCCATTTCGTGCCTACTTTGTCCCTTCTTTATCAGCAGTTCAGTTGTTTAAGAACCGTGAAAACCAATGCATAAACAGCAGTGACAAGCTTCCAAATTGTGAGGATTCAGAGGCATGTGAAATGGTTGACATTTCAAAAAACTCATCTACTGCCAGTCAACATTCTATATTTTCTGTTCTCTTTCCTCAACCTCGCAATCAGGAGGCATGCATTCAACCACCAAAGGAGACAGCTTCTATCAATAATGTATCTATTCCGTCTATCAACTCAACATGCTCTGGTGATGTAGAACTTCTTTTTGAATATTTTGAACTTGAGCAGCCTCAACAAAGACAACCTCTGTATGAAAAGTAAGATTGTTCATCTCCTTTATCCTGTCATCAGAACATAGTAGTTTTCAATTAGAATAGATAGTGCTGGCCATTTTATATGTTCTTCACTGAATATATCACACTGGATAATTTTAATAAGATCATCAACAAAATTTATGTCATTATACTCTGGGAAAGGAGGAGGGGGAGGTCAGTTGAATAAGAGAAAATGTTTTCACCTTTTTTTCAGGTTTGTCAGTTGAACACGTGCTTACGATTTGATTTTTGATTTCTTACAGGATTCAAGAACTGGTTAGAGGCAATATACCAATCCAATCTACAACTTATGGGGATCCAACCAAACTGGATTCATTAAATCTGAGAGATCTTCACCCTAGGTCTTGGTAAGTGATCTACAATTCTACATGTCAATTATATTTCACATGCAAAACAAAGTATGATTATGTCTGCCTTTAAATCAGATAACAAGATGTAAGCATTATCTTCACTCAATTTCTAGTGATATTTCAAATGGTAGCATTTTTAAGACCACTTGGTCTGCAGGTTCTCAGTTGCATGGTATCCTATTTACCGCATACCAGATGGCAACTTTCGTGCATCTTTTTTGACTTACCATTCCCTTGGGCATTTGGTTCCTAGAAGAACTAGTTCAGATTTGTCTATACTAGGTTCTTGCATAGTATCTCCAGCTGTGGGTCTTCAAAGTTACAATGCCCAGGTAAGAATGTTGATGCTTCATATTATTCCATGCATTGAGATGAACCTTTCAATTGATCAAGCAAAACCTTTTGAGATGAGTCAATTGCGAATAAGATTACGACAGATTTTACAGTTTTTTCTTTTTTGTGTGGCTGATTTCAAGATATTGGTATATTCAATCATGTAAATGTCAGTTAATTTAATTTGGAAGCAATCTTTGCCGGGGTGGGGAAAAGATAGAATGTAAAAGATGAATTTTCTGGACCCCACTAGTGGTGAAACGATGAAATTTTGCAGTTTGCTAAAAGAGAAGTCAAGGGAGAAGTTATTTACATGGAGAATATTATTGGAAGATGTTTAAGGGAGTATGTTGTTGAATGTTGTTCAAACTATACATGGTTGGATAAATTTTCCATGAGTAATTTCTTTTATACATGGAAAGCGAACTTGATATCAAAGGATTTACAGCACTATGCACCCTGCGCAACCAACTGAGCTAGATCCCATTGGTTCCATGAATACTTTTAGGATAAATAAAATAAGTAACAAATTAAACTTCTATAGTTTAAATCAACTTGTGTACTTCAACTTTTATAAAAAGCTCTTTTCATCTAACTTCTCCAAAAATTATGATGCATAAGTTGATTTTTTTTAATTTATGAAAAAGTTTGATTTATTTTGCTTTTTATTTTCTTCTATAACTGCTTACTGAGAAGTTTTCAAACAAGACCTATTGAGAAGTTCTAAATATCATCTAATGTGGTTGATTTTACACGAGTAGTTTGTTGGTCAAAGATAGAAGCCATTGTGCCATGTCTTGAAATAATTGTGACTGTACTCATGCTTCATTACATGTCACTGATTGCCTTGCATTGACACTTTTGATAAGTAATGTGGATCCATTTTTAGGCTTTCTAACAATTAAGCACTTAATTTGATATGAACAGGGAGAATGTTGGTTCCAGATGAAGCCTTCTGCACAGACATCAGAAATGGTGGGCTTAGACCCTTCTTTACTTCTTAAAAAGCGTTTGAGGACACTTGAGGAAACAGCATCTCTCATGGCAAGGGCTGTTGTCAACAAGGGGAAACTAACCTGTACAAACAGACATCCTGATTATGAGTTTTTCTTGTCTAGGCGACGGTATTGAATATTGATTCTTCAAATTTTCTCACCATAAAATAACTATGGTTAGGCCAGATAATAGTTACAACTTACAAATGATTTTGGCTACATTCATCACATAGTAGGATATATGACCCAAATAAGATCCAAGTGTGATTGGTCTTATGGCATGTGTCTTTAGGTCCTAGTTTCAACATCAATTCGTTTGTACATAGCAGCTTTGTGCAGTACCCTTTTTTCGCCTTTTCAATTCTTACTTTCAATTTTGCTTCGGGTTTTAGAGAGAACAATAAACATCTAGTGCTGATTGTGAGATATTAGCAGTCATTGTGGATTTTTCCCTATAGTTCAGTTTATGTTTCTTGTTTTCCTTAGCTTGAAGGTAGTGAATGCTGCCATATGTGCGTTCATACATGATTACTTTTATTACATTCATACTTAACAATCTCCAACTTGCTCTTTTCCCATTTAAAAAAAAAGGTAATTTTTTTATTGATCGGAATTGAATTTATTTTTTATGCACTATAATATTTTATTGCACAATCATTTATCTTTTTTTGTTCATGGATCATTTACGCTGTGGTTGGAAATCGGTTTGATACTTCTTTTACTTTCCAATATAAGCACGCACTTAATATGCTACGTTATTTTTGGCAAAACTTATAAACTCAACTAAGTTAGGCTATGGTATATATAAAAAACAAGTTTTGGGGAAAAAATTTATTATGCTAACAATATAAAAAAAAAAATGAAGTCTAAATTTAATTACTTTAGCTATACGTCACGTTATTGATGATTGGTGGTATGTTGGACCAAATTGTGGTCATTAGTGACACACAATGACTAGGACCTAAGCAATCTTTCCTTAAAGACATTCACATTACAATTTGTATGAATTCAATGCCTAAACTTAGACTTTACCGAAGGGGCTTTAACTGCACACAAAAAATTAAAAGGGAAAAGACTAAATATAGATATGGTGTTAGTTATTTATTACCCTTTCTCCATCTTATAAGACTAAAGTACACTTGTGTTTTACCATTATTAATCTAAGAAATAAATGGTGACTTAAGCTTCAGAATGTGTTTGCATATATTTATGTTCACGATTGTCTCTTGGAACTATCAGAAAAACAACATGTTATCGTTTGTCAAGGATCGGATCTGTGTACATGTTAGACTCGCATAACGGATATTCTTTTATTTTAAAATAATTATTAGTTAGTAGGAATTAAAAAAGTAATTAGATATTTTGAGTTTTTATAATATAAATATCTTGAATTTTATGGAAATATAACTATACTATAGTAATATAAGGAAATACGTATTACGTTCTCTCACATAATAATTATGTTGGAAATTATTACCGATAGATCCAAAAAAATTTAGGTCATCAGAGAAATATTTATATATATAAATTAGTATTTTAATTATATATTATATATGGTATTTTTTATATAATTAAAACATAGCAAATATTTTTAATTTTTAAATTATATTATAATTAAAATTCATCATAAATAAACATATTTAAATATGTAAACTAAAATTTGAATGGATAATCAATAACTGTTTTCATATAAATTATTTTTAAATATCAATAATTTCTCAAAATAAGTTATCAAAATAAGTCAACTAAAAATAGAGTTAAAATATAATACACCAAAATGTTAGATAATTAAAATTTATTTATTTACATAAAAGTAAAATAAATATAATTTAACATAATTGAGAGAGAGTTTTTTTTACTATAAAAATAATGCGTAAAATTTATATTAAAAAATAGAAATAATATTAAGAATGTTTAATTAAAAAATAAAGATAACTAATTAAAATAAATTAATAAAGACATAAAATATTTATAATGTAAATATAATTTATTTTTAATTGTATTTCAAATTATTTATAATTTGTTATTATAAATATATTGTATTTATAAATTTACAAATGATTAAAAAAAAAAAAGTAGTAGGGATAGTTGTCCCCACTCTCTTATAATTAAATTTGTCCCTACTAATTATCAATATATTAGATAGTGACATTAAATTTAACTCAACTTTATAAAATTAATTTGTAAGATGAGAATAACTTTATTTCAAATTGAATAACAGACATTTGAAGATGAAGTTTATAAGATTGGATATTTACAAATTATGGATGTGTGAGACATCTCAAGCACAACATTTGTAGAATTGAGTGACACGATAAACTCAACAACAATCGTTAACATATAGACTTTGATATTATCTTAAAAATTGAAATTGAGACTAACACAATCTTATCAAATCAATTTATAAAATATAGATTACTCATCACTTATATATATTATTACATTCATTACAGTAGCTAATGTCTAATGTAAGATTCCCAACACAAGAATGTAAAAAATTAAAAATAATTTTCTAGATAATAAATAGATTTAAAATAAAAAATAAAATAATATTATTTTTAATTTTACTAACATAAAGTCGATGATGGTGAAAGATTTCTTAAATATTAAAAATGGCCGATCAAATTAGCCAACATAAGTTGCATTAGCTTTTGTTTAAATAATTCAAAATCCAACGAATGATTAGTCTCTTGATTAATAACGTGTTTGTTTTAGCGTTTTTTAACAAATTTTCACGTCATTCTACTTGAAACGCGGAAGTAAAAACTATTTACTTCTAATTTGACGTGAAAAATTACGTTATTGATGCGGAAGCAAACACACTATAAATAGTTAATTTGATTTGAAACGACTTAGCGTGAGCGTGACGCACATGGAATGGTCGTTATCCTTAAAAAAGTAAATAATATAAACAATAGTCACGCCGTAGCCTAAGGACTTTTCCCTGTCATTATCTTACTTTCACATGTCTGCCTTGAATGATTTTTTTTTTTAATAAAGTTATCATGTGGTTTTTGTTTTTTATTTCTGAAAATTATAAATTCTTTCAATAAAAAATAATATTTAATCATCATAAAATTTTCATTTTATATATAGCATTTAAAAAATCATATAAAATCGTATAGTATGCAAGCCAGTTGTGACTAAACACAAGTCACTACAAGCTGGGGGTTAAATAGGTCAGTTATCGAACAATTTCAATAGTTAGATGAGTTTGATAAATAAGGTAATAGATTAAATAAGATATTATTAAATTTTGACTAATCATTAAGAAAATAATGATATTTAAATATATTATACGATACAAGTCCTTTCACACAATCATTATGAATATGGATAAATTTTAAATATAAGAATATAAATATTTAATGTTATTTTTAATAAAAAAAATTATTTAAATGAATTCATTTAGTCATCAAAATAAAAATAATAATTATTGAGACAAAATATTCATTTTAGTAATAAAAAATAGCACCATCAGTCTTTATAATAAAATATCTAAAAATTTTCCTTTTTAAGTGTCTCACGTCAACTACATTCAAATTCCACAAGGAACCTTTTTGTTGGTGATGAAGAGGAGGACATAAATTATAAAAATAAAATAAAAATTATTACCGAAAAAAGAAAAGAAGTGGACATAAATACGTCTTAGATAAGTAACAAACTTTAATCGAAAAAAAGATAAGTAACAAACTTTTTTTTATATATATTTTTGAGTTCAGTATGTCTTTTAAAATAAACTTTGTTAATTGTTATTTGTTATCAATGTGCTTTATTATATTATGCTTTTGGTTGAATATGATTCCTTCATAATCTATTAGTTACGTATAACCTAAAGCTTATAAAATAGTAGCAGAGTAATGGAAGAAGCTATTATTATTTTAATCATAATCAGAGTACATAAGCACTACAATTATATTATAGATGTTGAATATAAACTGATAAGCTAAATAAATATCGGTATAATAACAAACTGATAATTATTAATATCAGTATAATAATAAATTATATAATAATAAACTCATAAAAATAACAATCGAACAGATAACAAATTTAAAGAGATAAAGTACTAGGTTAGTACTTCTACATGTTCCCGCAAGATTGAGGTATCTTTAATAAGTCGATCTTGGATTTGAGAAAGTGATGTCGCGAAGGTAAAAGTGGCTTGGTGAGTAAGTCTGCAAGCTGGTGATTGGTAGGAACAAGTGAAACATTGAGCTTCTTTTCTACAACTAATTCGCGAACAAAGTGAAAATCTATGGTGACGTGTTTCATCTGTGAATGAAATACAACATTAGCACATAGATAGGTAGCTCCAATATTATCATAAAAGATTGTTGGTGTAGAGATAGAAACTCCAAGTTCATGGAGTAATTGTTGCAGCTAGAGAACTTCAGCAGTGGTGGTGGCAATTGTGTGGTACTTTGCCTCGGGGGAATATCAGGCAATTGTGGTTGCTTCTTGCATGACCAAGATATGGCATTGGGGCCAAAATAGATCAAGAAAGCTCTAGTGGACATTCTATTCGTTGTGTTCCTGCCTCAATCTGCATCTCAAAATGTAGAGATGCATTGATTTGATGACTTGTTGAGATGCAACCCATGGGAGATAGTGGATTTGAGATAACACAGAATCTGTTTCAATGCTTGCATGTGAAGGGCAGTAGGAGACTGCATGTGTTGAGCAAGTTTGTTAATCGAAAACGCTACATTTGGATGTGTAATAGCTAGATAATGTAGGGAGCCAATGATACTACGAAAGAGATTGCTATCACAAGTTGTGGAGCTCGGAACAGGGTTTCAAGAGAAGGATGTGGCCATGGGTGTTGACACAAGCTTTGAATCAATCATGTTAGCTCGTTGAAAAAGGTCCCTTATGTAATGGTGTTGTGTTAGGAAGAGATCAGAGGTGGTAGGAATGATCTCAACACCAAGAAAGTGACTCCATTGCCCCATGTCTTTGAGGGAAAATTTGGTTGTAAGAGATGTCTTGAATTGACAAAAGAAAGCTTGTATTGTTTCTTGAAGGTAATAAATCGTCAACATAAACTAAAAAATAAGCAATAATGGATCCCTTGTTATAGATAAAAAGGGACGTGTCTGATTTGACATTGGTGAAACCTTGGTGTTGCAAAAACTCATGTAAGGATTGAAACCATGCTCGAGGGGCTTGTTTAAGCCCATATAATGCCTTGTGAAGCTTGTAGACATAATTAGGAAAGGAGGAGTGAGTAAAACCAGCAGGTTGAGACATGTATATATCCTCTTGTATAGTGCCATGAAAAAAGGCATTATTGACATCCATTTGGGAAAGGGACCAACCATGAGATATATCAAGGCATAACACCAACTTGATTGTTTGGGGCTTGATCATGGGATTGAAGGTTTTCTTGAAATCAATTCCTAGTCGTTGGTGAAATCCTTTGCCACTAACCTTGCCTTATACCGTGATATAGAGCCATCATGATTCCACTTGAGTCTAAACACCCACTTATTTCCAATCACGTTGTAGTGAGGACAAGGGGGAACTAAGGTCTAGGTTCCATTCTTCATGAGA